TTTTTTGCTTTTGTATTAGATTGACTTGTATGAATTTTGAGTTGGACTTTAGTTGTGCATTGTGAACCCGTTTTGGGATTTAGGAATATTCTTGAGATAATTGATTGGTACTTGAATTGGTTTATCAAAATTAGTTAGTTGAATTCGAGTGATGTAAATTAATAATATAGACATTTTTTTTTATTTTTTTTTATTTTTTATGGAACTCCAATTTAACGAGTCAATATTGAAACACAGTACTTAAAAAAAAAAATGAAATACATAACTTGTTTTTTTTTTTAACAGCTCAACTCATGCCATAGGCAGCCATAGAAAAAGAAAGAAATTCCACGATCGAACCTCGCTAACGATAGATCCCAAACAATAGAGTCAGACTAATGTCAAAAGAGATAATTATTAGAATATAATACCACTTGTTAGTTGTCTCACATTCTTGTACATAGAAAATAGGTCTGACGGGCAAGAGAGGGCTTTTTAAGCCCGATTCTTACCTAATGATCCCTCTAGGGATCTTATCTATAACCGTGTGGTAGGAACATATAGGGCCATAACTTGATTCAACTTATAAAGCTCGACCCTGTTTCCGTGTTTGCTCGCGGCAATTGTGAACTCTCGGGAGAATTGATGACTGCATCAAAGATGGATTGAAACAACAAAGAACTATAACGAGTGTCCCTGATGGAACTAGGCGACAGTCTAAGAATTAACGGACTATGATCAGAGAGATTTCTCGACAAATGTGTGAGTATACAATATGCGAGTATATGATGGAAGGGAGGTGGACGCTGCGATTGTCACGGGCTCGACACAAAGGATTAGGGGGACGAGAAACCTAAAACTGATGGGTCAATCCCAGACTAAGCTCTGAAACCCTTCAAGGAGATGAGATCTTAGAAGGGTGCTAAATCAGTCGGTGCAGCGCACTGAAACAGGAAGCTCTCACCCTTTCAAAGAATCTCGACTGAAAGGAGAGGTTATAACACACGCTCGACCATAGGGAGAGGAAGTTTGGGATCAGAAACACCGAATTTACCTGCCCCATCCCTTGAGCTGCATAAGAATGATCAATACTATTTGCCAGTGAACCTTTTAAGCCCATATACCTCGGATGCCAAGTCCCATAACTTGCTCTGCTCCCAATTAAAAGAGACTGTGATAGGAATTCCCTTGAATTCCTCGACTTCACTACTTTAAAACTCTGACAATAAATATAGAAATATCAATGTACATGAATCAATTCAAATAATAAATAAGTAAACGTATAAAATACACTATTAAAAATATAAAACGCACACATTTTTCGACTTATCAACCGCCGAAAGCCGGAACAATTGAGAAGAGGACAAAGGATCACTGATTGTTCCTATCCCGGGATCGGCGGATAATTGCTAACAGATGGAAAGGGTTCCAAACCTCAGGGACAGCTCTGTCTCCAAAAAAATTGAAACATATTACTTTGTTCTTTTTAATAGCTCTACTCTCATGCCATAGACTAGGCTGACATAATAGTCCAATAAAATTGAAGATACTATAAGATGAATCGACTTCGTATGAATTGTTGGAGGCTCGTGGTATAAAAAAAGTATATATAATAATAGAAATAAATTACACTCCTCATTTTTATTTTTATTTTTAGATTGAGAAAAAAATGAACATTATTTCTTAGATATATTCTTAGATATATTGAAAGTGCATATGAATAATAAAACTCACATAAATAGGTAAGAAATTAAGGTAATTAGGGTACGGCCATATTATTCGCACTCCGGTTTTGCGATGAAGCCAATAGTTGGCTTTATAGTGGGTCAACCTTCTATATATTATAGAAGGTTGGCTCCACCATGGAGCCAACTGTTGGTTTCATAGCAAAACCGTATTCACACTCCTTACCATTATACTATACACATATACACATCTTTTCATTAAACCATTGAGTATCGTCCAAAATACTATATTTATAATAATAATAATAATAATAATAATAATAATAATAATAATAATAATAATAATAATAATAATAATAATAATAATAAGTTAATGAAATAATGTATCCCACATATTTATATCTAAATGTATCAACAAAAGATGTGGATGAAAGACAGAAAAAATTAAGTTTAAATGAATGAGTATAAAAATATAGATGCCCTAATATAGGCAAAATAAAACTATATGTATGATGTGATATGAAAAATAGAAATAAAAATATCATGTTTTCATTTAGGTTCACTTAAAGACATGTATACTAGCCCATAAAAAAAAGGTTTAAATAGCTTCTTACATACATTTACTCAACATTTTAGACCCAACCTCAAAATATTTCATTAGTGTGTAAATGATTAATTATGTTATCTTCCATTTCCCCACAATATAGAAAAGTTAAATCAATCACCGTGAAATTGACAATGAAGCACAATTTCGTAAGACGGCTTCACTTATGACCCACAAGTCATGATTTCGAGTCACCGAAAAGAGAAAATATGAACACTATTGATTCTCCTTTAATTAAAAAAATAAAATAAATAATCATCACTGTGAAAACAAAATTCGATCAAAAGTATTGTAGATGTAAGTGTTCATTTTCTTTTTTTGCACACGTGTGAAAAAAATAAACATACATGGGGCAAAAAATGAAGTGTTTATAGGAAGGCGAATTTCGCGACGGACTTTCAGGCAAGTTTGGCGGCTTACTATCCACTTGGACTACATCGGCTCTCATCCCCTCCGCCGGGAGTGGGAGAATGACTCGCGCATGATAACATCGGGGTGTCGTTGTCAGGATATCCCCGATAAGTTCTAGCCTAAGTCTTTGGCCTCCTTTGTTGTACAAAAAAAAAAAAAGATGAAGTCAGACTTTTCTTGATTTCGAGTTGCTTGTCTTAGATGGGCCGTTTTCGAGGTGTTGTAATCACAACCACGTTATGATCTGTCAATTAACATCTTTCTCAAATGACGAAACTTTGGAGCAAAAGTGAATTTGTAGGCTCAGTTCCTTTCGGCCCATTAACTGAAAGCCCCAAAAGCATGTTTTGTGTGTGCGAGCCAACTATCAAGATGCTGACCCAAAAAATGAGAGAGTTGAGGATTTGATCAAATGAGGGAGGATCGAGATATTAAGAGTAGATTGAACTAGAATTTTAAAATTTTATTTTCATAAAAAACACATAATATTTTTTTTTTCAAATATTTAATGAAGTTGTACTCGACGAGATTTTATAAAAAAAAAATCCATTATGCTCATTTAGTAACGTATTTGATGTGCTTTCACTAGCTTAGCGTCGATCAAATTTTTTAATTCTTGGCCGAAAGTTGGTGCTCCATGTGAATTTCTAAGAATTCCACAATACAAGTAAATAGATTTTTCATATGGCATACTCATTACTAAAATGAAATGCCTGCACATCATAAATTTATATCCAATTATGATATACAAACACACACAAGATGATAAAGATTTTTTTTTTTAAAACACACATACACACACACACTGACACACACACAATTACTGCTTCATACACAATTAACAAAACAAAAAAATGCAACGAAATGATCCTAAATATTAATATTAAAACCCTAAATAGCTCAACTAAAATGATAAGATAGATAAAGACAATTAAAAAAATAAAATAAATATTTAATAGGGGGTTTAAAAATATAACTTACTATTCAAAAAGAAATTAAATCGGTCTTCTTGAAATTACTCACTTTCTTGTTGGATAGTTCTTTTTTTTTTTTTTTTTTTNNNTTTTGTTCTTCTAAATACATTGTTCTGGTGTTCAGAGGAGGGACATGGTCGTGACTAATTCATTTGATTAGAGTTTGTTGTATAGCTGTGTTTTTTGAGTTAGTGCTTAGTGAAAGGGTGAACCTACAATATATAATATTTTATTACAGTAGTGTTAATTTATAGTATTTGGACTTAATAGATAAGTGAATTATTTTGATGGGTTAATAGATTGGTTTATTGGGCTGAGTTAGAAATACAATTTTTTTTATAAACTAATAGTTGTTAGAGAAAAAAAAAAAACAGGCCTGGACTTCGGCCCATCCCAGGCCTAATAAAGATCCGTCCTTGGATCAAATTGAGTTGAGATGACTCGTTAACTAAACGAGCTCGAGTTCAGCTTGTTAATAAATATTAATGAGTCGAACTTGATGTTTAACAAACCAAATTTGAGCCCTGACGAGCTGGGATATAAAAAAGTACATATATTCGAGCATTAAAGTTAAAACGAGCTTTAAACAAGTTTGAGCTTGATCAACGAGTCAAGCTAAGCTCACAGGCGACTGATTTTGGTTGACAACTTTATATCACTATATTAATATGAATGAAAAGTATGCTAAAGGATAAGGGCTTGCTTTTATATCACTATATTAATATGAATGAAAAGGGTGCCACAAGATAAGGGCTTGCTTGTTTACAAGTTATTTTTACTCACATAATTCTAACTTAACTTTCACTCAATCCCACTATCTTTAATATTTTCACTCAATCCTACTATCTTTAATATTATTTATGTAATTAAATAATATAAACGAATTATTCTTACACATCACATCAACTTAATTCACTATTCATCAACTAACGTAATCTTAACCACATATCATTTCCAATAATATATCTCATACTTTTCCATCACATCATTTTTAATTTTTTTTATTTTCAATATTATTTTAATACATTTTTAAAATTTAACTAACAACTAACTATACAACTTTTGTTAAAATTAACTATTGTTAATAAAATGACTCGTTTTGAACAAATTATTTGATAAACAAGCAAGCCATGAGTGTTTTCCCACTACATCTCGAAATTATTCTACAAATCAATACTAATCTCCCCCCTTCAACATATTTGCCTCCTTTTCATTTTATTTTATTCTAGATAGTAGTAACATGTTCAATTATTCATCATAATTTGCAAAATGTATTGGTAGTATCTTCTAGGAATATCAAATATTGGCTGCCAAAAATATTGATGTGACGACCATAATGAAGATAATAATAATAAGACAAAAGCATACAACATTTGTTTATTACTTTATATTTTTATTTTTTTTTTAAATTATGAGACATTGAATTTAGATAAAAAATAAAAACAAAAAACAGAACATTATTATATTCCACTCAACCTAAATCTAAAGCCTAAAAAGTGCTGAAAGTGGGAGTTGGATCGAGAAATGTCTCATCTCAACTGTGGGCCCCCAGAAGTCTACACTGGGCTTTGGATATTTCGGATCTTTTTCTACGGATCCGTGCAAAGCCCACAATCTATCTCTTAATAAATTGTTGCCCGAAGTTTAATAATAAAAAAAAAAAGTGAAAAAAAGCTATCATTTTTTTAGATTTTTAGTATCTTTTCTTTGTTCTATTTAAATAGGATGAGATGTTTAACTAGAAATGATAAAGAAATGAGTTGTTGGCGAGCACAATCGACTCATTAACTAACGAGTGAGCTTGAAAGCTCGTTTATCGACTCGTTAACTTAACGACTATATTCGATAAAGGCTCGACCCTCAAACGAGCATGAGCTTGAATTTGACTCGTTTACAACTCGAATTGTATACAACTTCAAGATCAAAGTACAATACAACATAATTGGATGAGTACTTACCTTACAATTTTGGGAATGGTGGTGTTGGTGCTAAAACATATCTAGGCGGTAGTTATAATTTTCAGAAAAAGCATGTATGAAACATCATATTTGAAAAAATGATATTAGAAAAAAAGATAATTTTAAAAATAAAAATAACATATCTAGGCGGTAGTTATAATTTTCAGAAAAAGCATGTATGAAACATCATATTTGAAAAAATGATATTAGAAAAAAAGATAATTTTAAAAATAAAAATGCTTTTTTGTTTAGAAAGTCGTAACTAAGCCATCATATTTGATTGTTGTGATTCAATTTAAATTCAGCTCATTTGTTCCTTTTTTTCTATGTTTTCTTTTGGTTATTTGTTTATTAGGATCAATTGTAAAATACGTATAGAATTCAGTTTCTGATATCTCTTCGGAGATATCCTTTAAAATTGGAACGATACAGAGAAGATTAGCATGATCCATGCGTCAGGATGACACGCATAAATCGAGAAATGGTTCAGTTTCTGATATTTCTTTTATGCAGTTCAAAATACGTTGTAAGAATAAATCAAATCAAGAAAAAAAACTATTCTTTTTGTTGGAAAATTTCAATAAATATTCCAGCAGAGATCAATACAAAAAATGTTCCACTTGAATTAAATTTTTCTCGAAAATATAATCGAAATTTCATGATTTCAACAATAATTTTTACAATGGTTTATTATTATAAGAATTTCAGTTTACATATTCAATTTTAGTTAGAATTGTTTCTTCCACCAATAACAATAATTGTTGGCAACCTAAAATCCCAACAAAATTCAAAATGAAAAATGTTTTTGTTGGAATTACTGTTTGAATTTTCTAATAATATAATTATAACACTAGAATATCCGATTGAATTGTTGTTGAATTTTCTTTTATTATATTATCATTGGATTTTTTTTAACATTTCCTTATTCATAAGTTAATATGAATTCCTAAATGAATATTTGATCACAACTATATCTGAAAGAGTAATGATATATACCTTCAAGAGCCGTGCAAATAGGCTATGTCAAAACAAAATAAAATAAATAAAAGTCACTTTAATCAATTTTTTGGTACAGAGACCTTCTGGTTTCCGGATCCACATGAGAATCGACTAATTCAGAATCGAGCCGGGTAGGATCACAAGGACGGCAAAGCTCTCCCTCAAGAGTTTTAACACTGCTGCATTCTCAAGGCTCGAACACTTTAATCAATTCAATATATATCTAACTCCCCGTTTATTTTTCTTTAATAATTTAATTTCACCTGTCTCATCGTCACCTTATCAATTTACAAACATGTTTAATAATTCTTTATCCCCCACATATTAATTAGGCTTGTTCGTAATTTCGTTGTCACGCAGAACTTATATATTGAATATCCCCTACTTGCACAACAAAATAAAAGGAACAAACAAAAATAGGTACCCAATGCCAAAAACATATTAATATAGTTCTTTATCAACATGTACATTCCTTTAAACTTAATTCCCAGATTTTGACTTTTTTTTTTCACACAAGAGAAATTAAGATTAAACTCCAACATTCTAAAACTTAGCTAAATCCTCTTAAACATTCAAAATAATCAACTCTAATGACAATAATAATCGAGCTTTCTTGTTCACGGGTAGCACGAGTTACGACAGAAAATATGTGATTGAAATATCATCGAGATTCCTGAAAATATATCTGCTGATTGTAGGTAAGTAAACATTTTTTTATGACAATACACATTTTTTATTATTTTTTTTTTACTTTTATTATAAAAGTAAAAATAAATAAATAAATAAATAAATAAATAAATAATAGAATTTGATTGTCATTTGATGCTAACAAAAGTGGCACAAGACAAGACAAAA